AGTAAAACCTACAACTCCTCTCTCATCAAAATTTATACTCAAACAAAAATACAATATCTTAAAGTAAATAAACAAGAAAACATATTAGCACTTCTAATATTATCCTATGAAAACTTCACTAATACTACTAATACTCCTACTACTAATCAGCTAAATACTCATGTATCTTCTCTTAAAACTGGTAGCATATCTACTAATAATACAAATAACACCAATAGTAGTAATACTAACTTAACAAATAAAATATAGACTACTTCAAATAAATCTAAAAAGAAACAAATATACGTTCTCCTATTATCTGGATTCCTAAGACAGGAATTTTTCCTAATTCACAATGTAATAACCTTGCCCTGGAAGAAGTATCCTCTTTATTTTTGAAAAAAATATTATAGCGTTCATCGAAATAATCCTTACAAATACGAACCAGCTTCTTCCAATCTAAAACTTCTTTATCTTGTTCTGGGAATAAGCGTGAAATCTCCACTACTAATTTCAATAAAACCTGGAGGTCGGGTTTTTTCCCTAAATTAACAGAACCCATCTGATTTTTTCTACTCTGTGAAGATTTGCTTATTTGTTCAGACCATGCTCGTTTTAGAGGCCACTTAAAATATGTAAAAAATGGATCCAGTACTTTGGATACCGCATGAATTACATAAGAATTCTCGCTATAATCTTCTTCTGTTAGTAAAGGCCTACAACTCCAAATGCGACGCCTGAAGTTAAAAAAATTAGCAAGTTATTATTGATATGAGAATACTTGCGATTTCATATTAACTTACAATCCTTCTAACAAGTCAAAAGTTGTCATTAGAATGCGTCTAGTTTTGAGTAACATCTCTCCATGGGGAAAGCTTATAGGTCGCATTAAAGCTGAATCGAAATCAGTTCTTAGTTCGCTATATGAACTTACAAATTCATCCAACATTGCACCAATTTGGTTGGGAAATTCATTATTACGAAATGAATACCTTGATAAAATTTGTTTCGTTTCCAAAGATAATAGCTTCGTAAATATGTCTTCATTCCCCGTAAGATCAATTACTCCCGATGCTATTGGAATTTCTGGTTCTATAGTTCCCAAATCTAAGTGTTGCAAAATGTTAAATAGTTCAGCATATACGCTTAAGCTTTCTTTCGAGCATTCGCCATGTATTTTGGCATTCTAAATAATTAATCTTTTATTAGAAAGGCTAAATGTTAATATTTTAACCAAAAATCTAATATAATAATTACTTACACATCCGCCCATTATAAAATTAATATTATTTC